CTCTCTCTTGCCTTCTAAGCTTGAGGTAGGGATTCTCTACACTCTTGTATAAGTTTTGCCTTAGTTATTTGCTATTTCAAAGGATTACAGTGGTTTGGGTTGTTTTGGTAAAACTTAGGGTTTGAAATCACACTACAACAATTCACACTTTTGGCAATCAAATTTGGCGACTAAAATTTGTATTGGTCGGCAACGGTTCATATTTTAGCTACTAAAATTTTCTAGTAGCCGTATATTACTTATTGGCGACTAAAAATACAATTAGTAGCTAAAAAGTGACTCAATAGGTGACTAAAAAATAGTTAGTCGCTAAAAAGCCCCCAATAAGCTACTAAAATACAATTTAGTCGTTAAAAAGTTACTCAATGGGTGACCAAAAACCACTTAGTCGGCAAAGGTTATTTTCAGTGATCAAAATGATTTTAGCAATAAAACTAAAATTTTTTTGGTGGGAACACAAATTTGCCGCCTGATTTTGGTTTATGTTTATTTTTTATTTTATTTTATTTCTCTGTATGTATCGATGCATACGCCAAAGGAAAAACCAATCAACACATTGTTTGCTCTCACTCCCATCGAACTGCCTATCGCTTTCCGTCGGTACACTGTCTCATCGCCACCGTCACTCACCATTGCTCACCGTCTCAAGCCCATTGATTTTGATTTAGGTATTTCTCTCTCTCTCTCTCTCTTCCTCTATTTCCCCATTTCACTATAGCTCTAGGTTTTTTTTTGTTTTGTTTTCTTTTTTGATGTTGTAGGAGTTTCATTTCTAGGAAACAAGTAAATTGGTTGTAATTTTTGTTCTAGATTTAGGGTTTTTTTGTTTTGTACATATATATATTTTTTGATGCAGAGGCTTGATCTCTCTTGGTAAATAATGAATATATTCATGGAGATTTGAAGTATTTTACACTCAACTTAGAAACATAGTTCATTCCACAAACAACATTCAACATGCAAATTGCTGTCAATCTGGTTCAAGAAACAGACGAGGTATGCCCTTCTTCAACTTCCATATGCCATTAGTCGTGTAACCAATTCTTAATTTGAATTTTCCTATGGTTGCTTGATTGAGAACTCTCTTGGCTCTCTGTGTCTGAGTTTGGTTTGTCCTCATATTGAATTGGATTTGTAGTTGTTGATTTGTACTTTTCATACATTTGTTCTTTACTATGGATTTGTTCTTCATGTTACATCTTTCGCCCTCCAACTGTTTGATGCAATGCCCAAATCAAAAATTACTCATCTTCTTCTTCTATTTCTGTTGTATTCTGAAGTCACATAGTGGTTTGGGTTTTAATATTTAATAAATTTATTTCTTATTCCTCTAGACCCAAGAAAGAATATCATGAAACAAGAGAGAATAAAATTAAGAATCCAAAAACTACTGTATGGCTGCTAAAATGTGATTGTAAGCAAAGTTCTGATAATTTTCTTCCCCTTATGTCTGAAGAAAAAAAAAAGTAGATTAATATGAGAACAACTCATACACATTGACTGTGTATTTATTTGCATGTATGGCTGCTAAAAAGTGATTGTAAAGCAAAGTTTTGATCATTTTCATCCACTCCTGTCTGGGGAAAAAAAAAAGTAAATTAATATGAGAACAACTCATACACATTGATTGTGTATTTATTTGCATGTATGGCTGCTAAAATGTGATTGTAAAGCAAAGTTTTGATCATTTTCATCCACTCCTGTCTAAAAAAAAAGAAAAAAAAAGTAGATTAATATGAAAACAACTCATACACAGACAAAAATATTCTTAGGGTATGTATTGGTTTTAATAGCTTTCAGAATTGCAAAATGTCAAACTATACAATCAATGGCTTTGGCTACACCTTTCATTTCTTTTCAAGATTCCAAAGTTGGTTAGTGTTTTTTGGCAGGGAAGAACCATATATTGAGATGAGATTTCAATTTTAACGTTTTAATTGAATGGATCAGACCTACATTTTTTCGACTTGGGTGGATTTTCAATAATTGTCATGAAAAGATTATATTATAAATGCAAATGTGGTGGTATCTTTTGATTATTTTCAAGTGGGTTAGATAAAACTCCGAGTGATTTTAAATATTTTAAAACCATTTGGTGAAAAATATATTTTTGAACTAATAATTTTCAATATTTTAAGACTTTTTGGTTAGGATGGCGATGGTTTGTTTGGCATTATCCCTAAGAACTGATTCTGTTTTCAATGATAAAAAAGTACTATGGTGTGGAAAAAAAATATTTTTCCTGCAATTTTGGGAGACTATTTTCCAAATAATTTCTTAAAAAACGAGGCATCATATTTGCTCAAGTTGTAAAAAGAATGATTTTTCTAATTTGCAAGTATATACAAATAAGCATTGTCGGCTGGGTAGAGTTTTTGATTAGGTGATTTGAATTAAAGCAAACTATTTTTTGAACATGATCCTTCATAGGATTTTTTAGTATTTTGCTTTTATATTGTTGGTTCTTGTAGGATTATGTAGGTATCCCCCTCTTTTTATTTGTGTGTTATTATTTACATAATGACATACCTATAGCTTGAGAACATTTCAAGGAATTTTTGGCATACTTAGAGACCATATTGTTGGAAGGCATCTTAATCTCTATGATAGAAACAGTTGGAAGATTTTGTAGGCATCCCATTTTTTTTAATCTTATTATTTACATAATAACACAAATGTGCTTGAGAACATTTCAAGGAATTTGTGGCACATTTAGGGAAGATATTGTTAGAATCTATGGCATCTTAACCTTTGTCGTAGAGACACGAAAGATAAACTTAAATTATTGAGTCTGAATTGTTTGAAAAACGGAAGTGTTGGAATGAGGTTTATATAAAACTGATTGAAGCCGCAATCAGTAATTTGATTTCACATCCTATAGTGGATGACTGGATGGTATGGCCATGAAAAAGGAAGTAACTAGATGACAAGATTCACTAAGAGAACCAAATAGTTGGAAGAATTCAATACTCATGTTGGATTCTGGCAACAAGGAATAGTATTTCCAAAGGTGTGTAAAGCATCTTGTCTCCATAGTTCTATTTTCCATATATAACCCTCCCTTTTGTAATTTCATTCACATTTTCCTTTTGATATAATCATTTTTTGGAATTCAATTATCGTTTTCAGTTTTACCCATGCCTGGGATTGTGCTCGACTCTTCTAAATGAAGCTAATGATAAGTTTACCCAATGTGCTTAATACCCATGGCTAGCCTATACTTTGTAACTGCTAGTTGACTATTACAAATATTTCTCCCTACGACAAACAAACAAGAACTTGTTGGATGTGAGGCATTCTATTTATTTAATTATGTTATTGTAATTCCTTCCTGTTCTTTTATTGTTCTTTCTCTTGATGTCAAGCGTGTTATCTATTCAACTTGATGAATAAAGTGGGTGATTTATAATTTAGTTTCCTTGTTAACACATTTTATCTTGTGCATGTGTGGCTCCATGTGCATCATATAATCTAATTGTGTCATTAGTTTAACATTAAAGTAGTTTAAAGTAATAATACTTGGTTTTTGTTTTGCTTCGCTTTTGTTTTTGTTTTTTTTTTTTTTTTTAAATTATATCTGCTGCTAATAGTTTGGATGCATTGTCAATATTATTTGATATGGATGCTATGAATTCCTAAACCAAGCTTCTTTCAACATGATATATTGATCTCCATGTTTTCTGGAATTTTAACCTGGTTATTCTATGACATATTGATCAATTATTGTGCATTATTTTTAAATGGGAAAATAGATTATATATATTTATATATCCCCAATGCCCCATTTATAAGTGGATTGTATTGTTTGTAAATTTTCTGCAAAATGTTTAATTGGCAAATATCATGCCATCATAGGATTTTCTGCTAATGAGCAGATACCACATGGCCAAATTTCTTTAGTTTAACTTGATTGAGAGATCTTGTCTTATTTTTCAATATCATGGTCTTATTAGTTAATTCATGGATGCTACTTTTTGAAGACATGACTTAACTGAGATTGCTGCTGGAAGAAAAGAAAAGAAAAGAAAAGCAGAGGAATTAAGCCTAGATTACTTTAAGACGCACCAAATAATAATTAGTTATAAATAATAACATAGGTGTTTGTCAAAAATGTGAAAGCATTGTTTTTTTCCCATTTTCTTTTGTACTAATCATTTTATGGTTATAAATTTGATTTGCAACAGAGCAGAGGTTGTCTTGGATGTTGTACTAAGCCCCCTCTGATAATTGCTGCTGACAAGCCATCCAAGAGACTGAGAATTCGAGGCCGAACAGTCAAGAAATCAAGCATTTCAGAGGATTTTTGGAGCACCAGCACTTATGAGATGGACAATAGTATTGTTCAGTCCCACAGAAGTGGATCATCGAGAAGTGGATCATTAATGAGCACATCAAATCTGCCCTTAGATCCCCACAACAGTGCTGGAAGCACAAGTAATCCTACTGAATTTGTAAATCATGGCAAATTCAAAAAATAAGTTAATTCTTTCTATTGTTAACTGCTTACCAGAATGGTTGCTTGCATTCCATATAATATCAATCAACGTGTTGCTTAGCCATTGTTTCTGACAAATTACCTCTACTCATCCTCTAAGATATTCTAGGCCCCAAAACTGTGAACTAGATGATTATCAATCTTTATTTAAATTAGTGGTGGTTCTTTGGATAGATGTATGGTTGGAACCACTAATTCTTTTTTCTTTTTTTTCTTTTTTTCTATTTTTGGTCTGTGGACTATGGAGTTTGGGCACTTGATCAAATTTTGAAAATTCCCCAATATCCATGCCGCTCTGATTTAACGAGCATGTAGTAACTTCCACAATACATATTTTATATTACTGAACTGTTAAGTTAAATGCTTTGCATTTCCCCTAGGCCACAAAGAGCTTTTAAGGGCACTCTCATATGAGACTTCTCCAGTAGTGTGCTTCTTTGTCTACTAAATTTAATTCTTCATTTGTCTAGGTCTTCTTCTTTGGAATTATATAAGACAGGAATGAATTGGAAATAAGAGGTCTCAAAACCGTACATAAGTTCCCAAACCCAAACTAAGGTGTTTTACTTCGCCTTTCTTATATTTATGTGAAGTGCAAACTTGTCATCTTCATTTATAGTTCCTTGAAGCTTCTCTTCTTGTTTTTCATTGCAATGTGACTTGATCATCATTTATGATGTTATCACAGGTTTTATTGGCTGGTGATATCTAGGTTATGATCTTAGGTTACCAGCCGAAATGTACACGATGGTATAAATAATTGAGTCACTTGTTCGGCAGGTAAGTTCCATAAACAAGACTGCATCTGATTTGCCATGTCTGCTTGTTGATGTTGTCTATCGTTTAATGGGCTTCAAAACATATTTATTCATGCCGATTTAGTGTAGTGTATTTTTAATTGAGCTGTTCTCTGTGACAACACAAATTTAATGCGCCAAATAGTATTGAGTATGGCCACTTGCTAGTTGGAACAATAGACAAATGGAGATTCTTTTGTTTGGCACCAACACCAATGTTGTGCTGTTATAATGTTGTAATGCTATATGTTATCTACATATCCATTGAGTTCACTGTCAGGATAAGTCATAGAAAAAGGGCCCTAAACTTAGTTTGGGAGTTAGAGCCGAATATGTCCGAAACTTAGTTGAAAAAGAGCTTTTCAGGGGCGAAAATTGAAAAGAGCCCCTGAACCACCGTTTGGCTCACACGGGCAGTTTCCCCATGACAAATAGGACTTGTCACAACTGACGGAACGTAATTCGGACCTGTAGGTTGGGAGGTAGAGTCGAATATGCCCAAAACTTAGTCGAAAAAAGACGTTTTGGGGGCGCCCTCGAACCGCCGTGTGGCCGACACAAACAGCTTCCCCATGCCAAATATGACTTGTTACACTTGACGGAATGTTATTCGGACCCATATGTAGGGATTTAGAGCCGAATACGTCCAAAACTTAGTCGAAAAAAGGCGTTTCGGGGGGCGAAAATTCAAAACAGCTCTCGAACCGCCGTGTGGCCAACACGAATAGCTTCCCCATGCCAAATATGACATGTTACAACTTACGGAATGTTATTCGAACCCATATGTTGGGATTTAGAGCCGAATAAGCCCAAAACTTAGTCGAAAAAGGGCGTTTCGAGAGCGAAAATTGAAAACAGCCCTTGAACCGCCGTGTGGCTGACACGAACACCTTCTCCATGCCAAATAGGACTTGTGACAACTGACAGAATGTTATTCAGACCCTTAGGTTGGGATTTAGAGACGAATACGCCAAAACTTAGTCGAAAAACGGCCTTTCGGGGGCGAAAAATCAAAATAGCCCTGGAACCGCCGTATGGCCTACATGAACACCTCCTCCATGCCAAATAGGACTTGTGACAACTGACGGAATGTTATTCGGACCTGTAGGTTGGGATTTAGAGACGAATACGCCAAAACTAAGTCGAAAAAGGGCGTTTCGGGGGCGAAAATTCGAAACAGCCCTTGAACCACTGTGTGGCCGACACGAACACCTCCCCCATGCCAAATAGGACATGTGACAACTGACGAATTGTAATTCGGACCCGTAGGTTGGGATTTAGAGACGAATATGCCAAAACTTAGTCAAAAAATGACATTTTGGGGGCAAAAATTCAAAACAGCTCTCGAAGCGCCATGTGGCCGACACGAACACCTCCCCCATGCCAAATAAGACTTGTGACAACTGACGAAATGTTATTTGGACCCGTAGGTTGGGATTTAGAGATGAATATGCTAAAACTTAGTCGAAAAACAGCCTTTTATGGGGAAAAATTCAAAACAGCCATTGAACTGCAGCGTGGTCGACACGAACACCTCCCCCATGAAAAATAGGACATGTGACAACTGACGGATTGTAATTCGGACCCGTAGGTTGGGATTTAGAGACGAATACGCCAAAACTTAGTAAAAAATGGCATTTCAGGGGCGAAAATTCAAAACAGCTCTCGAACCGCCGTGTGGCCGACACGAACACCTCCCCCATGCCAAATAGGACTTGTGACAACTGACGGAATGT